ACATTTACAGTCAAAGCATGATTTCATTCGGTTTCCGTATCTTAAACTACAAATGATTTGACTTCTCTGATTGTCTTCATAGTTTTATAATTTAACTGCCAGGAAGCCAAGTGAACTAACTCCTCATGTGATTCGTGCCTGGCTGTGAGTTGTGGGCGGTGGCGTCGTGAATTTGAATAAAGGAATCATGCTCCGTTCCTTTCGCTTTGCTCTCTACACTACATTCTCTTATCTTCTTTTCACTAAAGGCAACGCCCACCGATCAAGCTGCCTGACTAAGGCCGTGTCCATTCAATCGATTAGGGGCTTATTCTACTTGTACATATATCGAAGAAGATTTTTCAGTTAAGATGTCATGTTGTGGCCTGTGGCCCGGACAACTTTAGATTGCGGCAAGGCGCTCATTTCGGGTGCACACGAAGCCAAACACTATGTCACTACATGTTGCAGCGGCATGTCAAACTGCCGAAGCCTTACCCATTCAGTCGACCAAAGGCTGACTCAAACTATACATAAAGGTCCATGGCACATATACATATATATATACATATATATATATATATATATAAATATATATATGTATGTTAATACATGTGTATGTACATATGTATGTATGTATGTATGCATAGGTGCACTTAGCATTTATGCATGATTATATATATATACATATACATATACATATATATATATATATAGTGTATATATACATATCTAGTTGTGTGTGTATTTAAAGGTGTGTGCACTCTCTCAATACTGTACTTGTGAATAAAACCTGCAATGTACGACGTATATACTACTAAAAGCTTCCATCTCGCATTATGTCAAGTTCTTTTCGTGGAGGTTCTTTGAGCTGCGGCGTCTCTCTTTCTCTTCCTGCCTTCCGATCCGTCTTCCCTCCTTCCTTTGCTTCCTTGCTGCCTTTCTGTACGCGACACAGCCACAGTCCACATCATAATTCCTACGAAAACAATAACAAGCCACCTTGAGGCTTCTACTTTACGGCTTCCTTCTCTCAGAACCTGTCGGACCAGATTAGCGTGCATACTCTCATTCGATTTCGAGCCCTCTTTCTGTACCCCTGGCACACGCGGTCAAATCCTGTCATTCAGACCAACACGTCCGGCACTGCACAAGCCAAGATGTACTTTGCTCGCGACAACTCCCTGATGCTCAAGATTGCTATGTTCAATGGAATGTCCAGCATCAACCTTTGCTTCCGCTGACGGAGCCTTCCGTCACAGCTGTCATGCAAAACTCGAACATGTTGCTTTCTACCGCTGAATCGGGATCAACAACTTGACGTTCCGTGATCCGACTTTGCAATGTCCGATCTTAGATCGTCCTTCGACGCTTTGGGGAGTGCGGTGTAGACATGACACGGTTCCGATGCGCTCGCGGACCAGCTGTGCCGCGCGAACCTGTTGGCCAGGCCATGCCAGTGCAAATGCCAAAGTTGCCCTTGCCAACACATTTTGCTGCAGTCTTTGCATGCTGAGATCAAGTATCGTGCAGGCAAACTGGGTCCCTCGAGGAAGCTAGACTCTCAATGCACTCTTAGATGACATGATGCGACATGCGTTCGCGAAGAAGACCCAAAGAGCTGCTGCCTCGGGGACGAGCTACAGGCCAATTTGTGGCACTGCACTGTGAGAGCTCCACTCCCACTTCCAAAACAGAAGTGCTTCGCACGGCTGAATGATGTTTGAGGAATCTGAGGAATCGTAGTCGTAGGCTATTTTGCCTAGACTGTCTTCTCAACTTCGTTCCCTGCTGGGCTTGCCGCGCCAGGGCCGCCAATTGCGTAGGCTTTCGGTGGCGAGTGCTGCTTGACGTCCATGCCGACCTCTTCCGTGTACTCGTCGATGCGCAGCAGTCCGGTCATCTTCAGGGCGAAGAAAGCCAAACCCGACAGGGCTCCAGCCCACAAAATGATCACGAGGACCATGATGAGCTGTGCGGCAATGGCGGTGCCACCGATGCCGGTCATGCACGACGAGTCGGTGTCGCTCACTGGCTTGCAACCAAAGCCTGACCAGCCATGGTAGTGGTCAACGCCCTTGCCCCAGTCAAAGAGTCCGGCTGCCAGCGCACCCCAGATGCCGCAGAAGCCGTGCACCGGGCTGGCATCCACGGGGTCGTCGATCTTCAGCTTCTGCAAGAGCATGGACGAGCCTTGGTACACGAAGGCACCAAGCAGTCCGATGGCGAAGGCGCTGCCGCACTCCACATTGCCGCAGCCAGCGGTGATGGACACGAGGCCAGCCAAGATGCCGTTGCAGAGGCCGCCGACGTCGTACTTTTTCATGATGGCATAGCGTAGCAGGAAGACCGTGATGCCACCCGTGGCGGCGGACAGGGTTGTGTTCATCGCCACTTGTGCTGCCATCGCCCCGGTGTCTCCCGTGTGCATGCCCAGAGTGGAGCCCGGGTTGAAGCCGTACCATCCGAACCAGAGAGCAAAGGTGCCCAACACCACCAGGGGCAAGTTGTGGCACTCGAACTCCTCCGGGTTCTCGAAGCGACCCTTGCGCGGGCCGAGCACGACAGTGCCTGCCAGAGCACTCACGCCGCCGGTCAAGTGCACAATGGCGCTGCCCGCGAAGTCCATGTAGCCTTAGTGTTGACGAGGCTGCTGACAACCTAACGAGTCGCACACTGCACACCATTCAGCACAGCGGAAGTCTGCGGTTGCTAGCACGCACATCGCATGAAGACCCCCGCAGAAAACGAAAAGTCAATCCCAAAGCAAACGCAGCCCGGCAGCCCACGTCCAGCACTGAGTCCAACCAGCCGTAACCCCACGTCCATGCGACCACAACCGGGTAAATGAAGCTGGTCATGCAGAAAGCGTAGACCGCGTAAGTGGGGCTCTTCACACGCTCTGCCACGCCACCACTCACGATGGTCGCGCCGGCCGTACAGAAGGCCCACTGGAAGAACCAGCTCAGCATCTTGCTCTGGCATCCGTCCGCATCGCAAGATGCCAGGGGCGTGATGACATCCGTATCCGCAACTTTGGTATACAATCCCACACCAAAGAACTCAGACGTCCCGATGAAGCCGTTAGCCGGCTCGCCCTGGCTGCCATAGGCAAAAGCCCAGCCAAAGGCCCACCATCCCAAGGTACCCACCGTAACCTCTCTTGCTCAACAACCGGGCCCCAAAAAAGCTCAAATCTTTCAAAGATAAACCGGAACACATTGAGCCAAAAGATGGAAGCTCTCCCATTGGCTAAGCAACATTGACCAAGTTCTTCATCAGAACGTTGGATGCGTTCTTTGCGCGGCAGCTGCCGGTCTCCAACATTGCGAAGCCAGCATGCATGAACATGACGAGAGATCCGCAGAGGCACAGCCAAGCGGAGTCCATCGCACCGCCCAGGCTGTACTGCGTGCTCTTCAGCGACGCGACCTGACTTGCACTTTCCCCCGACTCCGCCTATCAATGGCAAGCGCAAGTGCCGCAAGTGCCGCAAGTGCCGTGCCTCTGCGTCGAAGGTCGCGGTGCTCACGTAGCTCACCGTCTGAAGCCTTCGAGCCTCGACCATGGAATCGTAGCGCTGCTGCTGCTCCTGAACAGGCGGCCCAGGGATTGAAAGGATCGATTGAAGCCATCTTCGGCACCTGAATTAGAACTCGTTGTGCAAGGACTTCAGCTCGGAGTGCTTCCAGGTCGGCCATCAGAGCATCGTTCTGCCCGGCGGCAAGGGGCACCAGCGCCTCAGCTAAAAACACGAAGACCGTCACCGCATCTCACAAGTTGCAAACGCATGCTTAGAGGGGGGCCGCAAGACCGACTGCTACACGCGCCATCATCCCGCGAGTTAACAACCAACTACCACCAAAACTTGCCTTCGAGCCAACATGAGCGAAGGCTTCCATTATCCATTCCTCCAGACACAAACTCCCACGTTTGTCCTGCCCTCCCGAGCCCGTGGTTTCAGCTAGTTCTGGTCAACCTGTGCGACATTCCCGATCATCCACATGTTCTGTGCAAACTCTTGACCGATCTTGTTTCCGAGCGAGAGGTTGACGTTTGCTAGATTCACCCACATTTCCAGGGTGTAAAGTTTCGGGATGCCAATGGAATCATCCCATCCGTCCAGCATACGTAGTTGTTTTCTTGTGTTGGTCGTTTGCGGACATTCGGACCAGCTTGGAATTCATGTTTGCCAGCGATGACACTCACGGTAAACGCAAACAGCCCTACGACGTTTGGAAAAGGTACACCGTGGACATCTCTACTGAACGGATTGCAATTCATTGACCAGTCTCGGTAATGGTTTTTTTTGCGATTTGGAGATGGTTTTCACCTCTCGTGCGCATCCACGATATACGACATGTGTCACAAGTTCCTCTCGGAATGGAGGCTGAATGAATGTTGTGTTTGGCATTTGTGATCTGACTCAAACAAACCTCAAGTCGAGCCATGTATTGTTGCGCCAGTAGCGACCTTCCTTCAGGTCCGGACCGTCGGGGTTGACAAGTCTGGGTTCATGTCACAGACCCTGAGGAGATTGGAGACCCCAGACAGCTGTGTGTCTGACGTGTCATGCCATCCGGAAAGCTGAGCACATCCTACGCTTGCTATGGTGTCCGCTCGTTTGTGCTTTCGGCAGAGTGAAGACACGGTTTCGCCGAGTGTGCGAGCACTCGCCGTCGCGCAGGCGGTACGGCGAGTGCGACTGCTGGCTATGAAAAAAGGAATGCGAGTTGCCCTTGCCAACACATTTTGCTGCAGTCTTTGCATGCTGAGATCAAGTATCGTGCAGGCAAACTGGGTCCCTCGAGGAAGCTAGACTCTCAATGCACTCTTAGATGACATGATGCGACATGCGTTCGCGAAGAAGACCCAAAGAGCTGCTGCCTCGGGGACGAGCTACAGGCCAATTTGTGGCACTGCACTGTGAGAGCTCCACTCCCACTTCCAAAACAGAAGTGCTTCGCACGGCTGAATGATGTTTGAGGAATCTGAGGAATCGTAGTCGTAGGCTATTTTGCCTAGACTGTCTTCTCAACTTCGTTCCCTGCTGGGCTTGCCGCGCCAGGGCCGCCAATTGCGTAGGCTTTCGGTGGCGAGTGCTGCTTGACGTCCATGCCGACCTCTTCCGTGTACTCGTCGATGCGCAGCAGTCCGGTCATCTTCAGGGCGAAGAAAGCCAAACCCGACAGGGCTCCAGCCCACAAAATGATCACGAGGACCATGATGAGCTGTGCGGCAATGGCGGTGCCACCGATGCCGGTCATGCACGACGAGTCGGTGTCGCTCACTGGCTTGCAACCAAAGCCTGACCAGCCATGGTAGTGGTCAACGCCCTTGCCCCAGTCAAAGAGTCCGGCTGCCAGCGCACCCCAGATGCCGCAGAAGCCGTGCACCGGGCTGGCATCCACGGGGTCGTCGATCTTCAGCTTCTGCAAGAGCATGGACGAGCCTTGGTACACGAAGGCACCAAGCAGTCCGATGGCGAAGGCGCTGCCGCACTCCACATTGCCGCAGCCAGCGGTGATGGACACGAGGCCAGCCAAGATGCCGTTGCAGAGGCCGCCGACGTCGTACTTTTTCATGATGGCATAGCGTAGCAGGAAGACCGTGATGCCACCCGTGGCGGCGGACAGGGTTGTGTTCATCGCCACTTGTGCTGCCATCGCCCCGGTGTCTCCCGTGTGCATGCCCAGAGTGGAGCCCGGGTTGAAGCCGTACCATCCGAACCAGAGAGCAAAGGTGCCCAACACCACCAGGGGCAAGTTGTGGCACTCGAACTCCTCCGGGTTCTCGAAGCGACCCTTGCGCGGGCCGAGCACGACAGTGCCTGCCAGAGCACTCACGCCGCCGGTCAAGTGCACAATGGCGCTGCCCGCGAAGTCCATGTAGCCTTAGTGTTGACGAGGCTGCTGACAACCTAACGAGTCGCACACTGCACACCATTCAGCACAGCGGAAGTCTGCGGTTGCTAGCACGCACATCGCGTGAAGACCCCCGCAGAAAACGAAAAGTCAATCCCAAAGCAAACGCAGCCCGGCAGCCCACGTCCAGCACTGAGTCCAACCAGCCGTAACCCCACGTCCATGCGACCACAACCGGGTAAATGAAGCTGGTCATGCAGAAAGCGTAGACAGCGTAAGTGGGGCTCTTCACACGCTCTGCCACGCCACCACTCACGATGGTCGCGCCGGCCGTACAGAAGGCCCACTGGAAGAACCAGCTCAGCATCTTGCTCTGGCATCCGTCCGCATCGCAAGATGCCAGGGGCGTGATGACATCCGTATCCGCAACTTTGGTATACAATCCCACACCAAAGAACTCAGACGTCCCGATGAAGCCGTTAGCCGGCTCGCCCTGGCTGCCATAGGCAAAAGCCCAGCCAAAGGCCCACCATCCCAAGGTACCCACCGTAACCTCTCTTGCTCAACAACCGGGCCCCAAAAAAGCTCAAATCTTTCAAAGATAAACCGGAACACATTGAGCCAAAAGATGGAAGCTCTCCCATTGGCTAAGCAACATTGACCAAGTTCTTCATCAGAACGTTGGATGCGTTCTTTGCGCGGCAGCTGCCGGTCTCCAACATTGCGAAGCCAGCATGCATGAACATGACGAGAGATCCGCAGAGGCACAGCCAAGCGGAGTCCATCGCACCGCCCAGGCTGTACTGCGTGCTCTTCAGCGACGCGACCTGACTTGCACTTTCCCCCGACTCCGCCTATCAATGGCAAGCGCAAGTGCCGCAAGTGCCGCAAGTGCCGTGCCTCTGCGTCGAAGGTCGCGGTGCTCACGTAGCTCACCGTCTGAAGCCTTCGAGCCTCGACCATGGAATCGTAGCGCTGCTGCTGCTCCTGAACAGGCGGCCCAGGGATTGAAAGGATCGATTGAAGCCATCTTCGGCACCTGAATTAGAACTCGTTGTGCAAGGACTTCAGCTCGGAGTGCTTCCAGGTCGGCCATCAGAGCATCGTTCTGCCCGGCGGCAAGGGGCACCAGCGCCTCAGCTAAAAACACGAAGACCGTCACCGCATCTCACAAGTTGCAAACGCATGCTTAGAGGGGGGCCGCAAGACCGACTGCTACACGCGCCATCATCCCGCGAGCTAACAACCAACTACCACCAAAACTTGCCTTGGAGCCAACATCGGCAAAAAATAGAGCCTGTCCACTTCATGACACAAACCCTGCGCTACTGCCAGTTGCTTCCCGCCCTGAAACCTGGCTCAGCTGTTATGAAAGTTCGCAAGCTTAAGCTTGGCTGATGTAATGTAATGTTTTTGCTTGAGTAGCCGTAGACTGGTAGACTTATGAAGGATGGCTGGGAAGGCATGATCCTCGCAGAAAAGCAGCTGCAACCTTCTTTTGGCGTCGCCCTGCCCGTGGAAGTGAAAGCTTGGAGGGCTACGCCCCTGCACATGGAAGAGGAGCCACACTCTCTGAGCTTTCGTCAAAAGGTCCACATGCACAAGCTACACCTCATAGCGTTCGTTCATCGTCATGCTTGACCAAAGCTCAACTGAGACGCCGTCAAGACTGATGCTAATGGAAGAGCTAACGGAAGAAATCGCCAACCTGCAGAATATTGATTCTACTGCTGTGCAAAGGTCAAACCCCTTTTAGGAACTCCCTTCTCGCGTGTTTGGAAGATGTAGTCAGCAGCACTCGATGTGCCTTTTCTGTACAGCCAAGCTCAGCAGTGCTCGTCATCTCATGCTAATTAGTGCTTTTGACCTCAGGGCGCGTGACGAATTTAAAATGCATGCGGGTGCTAAAAACAAAGGCCAAAAAAAGCGCTAGTTGAAGAGCACGGGAGTGTCAAAGTGCCAGAGCTGTTCATGCTCTCAAGTCTCCTCTTGCTCACCACAGTCCAGCACAGTCAGGAGAGCAGCTGCCACCCGTGCACCGGGGTATCACTCTGCACACAGAAAGAGGGCTTGGACGATGCGCTCTGCCACCTCTTCTGCCTTTGCTGGCAGTTTGTTGATGTGCCAGAACTCTCCTTAGAAGGTCTACGGATGCGGCTTGCCTGCTTGCTGTGGTTGCCAAGTTTTCCGACGGGAGCAAAAGTGCACTTTCTCTGGCTGCAGTCGATTCTCCGAGCTAACCCAGGACTGCCTGCCTGGTGATGCCCTCTACCCAGCGCAAAGTGTCTTTTCTTCGTAGCGCATGCTGGAATAGCTGCGATTCGCAAGTACCTGCACAAGACGTTCCTTTTCCATCAGGCTTTATACGAACGCCGAAGCACCTGCGATGTACGACAGCAACCTACATCGCCAAACAGCACGATCACCACCATCACAGTCACCTACGTGCGACCACATCCCGAGCTACCGGCCGGGAAAATGCATCTGGCCCATCCTGCCACAAGTGTAGATGCCATATGCCTGCAGCAGCAGGATGGCAGCACTTCATTCTGCATCAGTGGTTCTAGGTAGGCGCTTCCAAAAATGCCACGACGGTGCTATAGGCTGCTAGGATATCTGGCCTCGTCGTCATAGCGTTGTAACTGAGCAGTCGCAGGACTGGAGGCTGAGGCTTCTGTGACATCCGTGACCTCCTCTGGGAGAGGTCTGAGCTTCGCGCGGACAGAGCCGGCTGCACGGACACGCTCAGTCGCGCCGTCGGGAAAGAAGCCATCTTGCGAGCCTGGCCCGAGAGGAGCGGCCCAACACTACTTCAAGGCGATAGCAAAAGAAGTGGCGGCTGAGATCTGAGCCAATGCCAGGGCGGTGGCTTTGGTCGACCTGAAAGCATTGGAGAAACGAGCTGGATCTCGGCTGCCCCACTGCAGAAAGGCTGCTTGTTGTCGACGCCGATCCGAGCTGCGATCCCTGCCTGTGGCAGGGGGGGCGCATCAGTGACGGCTCACGGCTCTCAGGACAGTCCTTTCAATCGCACAACCTGCGGGCAGATGGCCTTCTGAACGGCGACGGCGCTGACTGTTGAATCAGTGAGGTAAATGTCCATCCTGAGGCACGGCAGTCCAGTTACTCAGTGTTGCAGGCATCCTCATTCTCAATGACTCGTTCATTCCCGAGCAGACATAGCCAGTCACCATTCTATGAAGCGTACTATTTCGAGACGAGCCACGCAGCCGTGAGCCCCACATGCTGCGGCAGGTGCTTGGACAGAAACATGATCGGACATGCACCTGGCGTGCTATGAAATGGCTTTGCCGAAACCCTGCTGTGCAGTGGGGGCCCAAAACCCTGCCCAATAGGAACAGGAAAACACTGTTTCGCAAAATGATCAACACTGAATGGTTTGAAACAGACAAGCCCGCGCAGAACAAACCATGCTTAGCGCAGCACTAGGATGGCATTGTGATAGTAGAACTCAGCTGCGTGACGGGTTAAGCACGACTGACTGCTGAAAAAACGATTAAGGCACCGGAGCAAGATGAGAAATGCATCACAACGCTACGCGCCAGGTGCCGGCTATCTGGACAAAGCACCTAGCGGCGTAGCCACACCCAGACAAACCTAGCAAAGCCGATGACGGGGCTTCCCTTTCGTAAACAATATGCGGAAGGCAGGAGTGCGGCCTCTGAAACTCTAACACTAATGACACTAATGTTGTACAATCAAGGGACATGGATAACGTGTGCATCTGGCAACAGACAACCCTGAAGCAACGCCAACACTGGGATCCCGGAAAGGTTCATCTGCAAACACGTACAAAGACCGAAACAAGGCTTGACAACTGTGCACGGGCCCCGTGAGCCTTACTAGCAAATAAAGCCTCGCGTCTTTTTTCTCCCCCTGGCCTCGGCTGAGATTTCCGAAGGCAGCACTTCCGTTCTGGGCGATCACGCGCTCAGTGCAGTTCAGCGACCTCAGTTGAATTGTTTGGTGAACAGCAAAGAGCTGTCTGATCGTCTGGTTGACTTCTCACCCAACAAGAGCAGCAATGTGTTGTCATTGAGAGTTTCACACGGCCACGCCGCCGCCGATTGCGTTCCCGGTGATTGCCACGACACTTGGGATTGATAGCTCCTGCGAAGGGTCGTCAACAATGCTTGAGTCCAAGCAGACGTCAGTTGACGACTGCATTGCCGCGCCTTCATCCGCACAATGAAAAGGGAGCTGGCGGAGTGCGAAGCCATCTGGTAGGGCGTTGCTCCCGGTGGAGCTACAGGGTGATGGTTGCCTGCCGACAGATTTGCAGAAGGATTCCACTTGCTTGAGTTCGAGTGCGATGCAGGTGCAAGGACAAAATCATAGCGCGCTTGCAGCCTCCTGGACAAAGGTGTGGTCCTGCACCCTGCAGAACGGCTGCCAGCGGCATTGCACTCCTCCAATTGCACGTGGGCTTCGAGTTGGGCCGGGAAACGAGCACTGATCGAAACGGATGCCTGCAAGGTTTCCGCGTGCCTGCTCTTGCAGCGAGACATGTGAAGCTGGTATGCATCCATCATGAACAGGAAGTCTGTACCTCGGAATGGAACGATTTCAGCTTCGCTGTCACGCGCAAGGAGATCTGTCTGGCAACAGATACTGGAACTATAGGACGCCGCTGCACGTGACTTGGATCCGCGACGACATGCATAGTCGATGAATCGAGCCTCCTATCTGACAGAGAGCTTCGCTTGGGCAAGTCAGAGACGAGTAGACAGTCCCGCGTGGCACTTTTATTGGTTCTTTACGCTCATTATCGGCTATCTGACACTTCTTTTCTCCACTGCCCAACACTGCAAGCTGACAAATCAAGGCCGCGCTGAGACAGCGTGTCGTTAGCGTAAAAACTGAACGGCTGCAGATGTTCTGCCATGTTCGCCCAGTCAGCGGACTAGATAGGACCAGGTCACTAGGTTCCTAACTTTGGTACATGTGAGAAGATTTATGTGAGACTGCACTCCCCAGCACCCGTGCTGGTGCAAGGTATCCACGAGCAACTTGCAAAAGCGGTCTGCTAGTAGTCCAGGAGCTCCACTGCTGATCCTCGCAGGCCGTGTCGTTCTGCTCGACTGAAGAGCTCGGCCCGACGATCCTGACAGCAGATCATGGCCCCCATTGGCCCCCCCAAGAGGTTATATAAGCAATCTGCAGGGAGTCCGATGTCTCTAGGGATGTCTCTATTCAAGGGACCCAGCCGAGCCGCTACTGCCAAGAGGTGGCAACTGGTCTCGTCGAGGCTCTGAACCCGAAATGCCGAATAGGGCGGGAAAAGCGTTTCGCTCTCATTTTCTTTCCAGGAGATATCCTTGATATCCCGTGCTCCCCAGAATCCTGGGGGGATGTCGATAATCCAGAGGTAGCCTTTGCCATCCTCCCTTGCCCGATACTTCTCCGCAAGGCTTTTGTCTCTTGTGGTGCTCTGGAACTGGCGAAACCGAACAAAACGGTCCAGTCGTTGCGCCTCCCTGAGCTTTTGCATGTTCAAGGGAACGGGCCTTTGCGTGTCGCCTTTCCAGACCCTCCCTCCCTCGTGAAGCCGCTTGGATCCGTCCGATTCAGTGTACAAAAGGAGGTAGACCATACGTTGAATCAGTAACATGGCATTCGCAAGATTGCTGCGAGCATCACAATTCAGTGTATTGTTGAGAGCGCGATAGTAGAGCGAGTAGTCTTGACCCGTATTTAGCGTAACTCTTTGTCCCAACTTCTGGTGCGTTGTATACAGGTAGAGGGATGCATCCTCGTGCGAGTCGAAGAGCTGAAGCAGGGATTCCATTTTTGCAGCATCGATGTCGAAAGGCTCCCCGTCCGCATCCTCGAGGTTCGTGAGCCACTTCTCTAGGCTCTCTCTTGCGGCTTCCTTGGAGACGAAGTCGACATCTCCAACACCTTTGCTGCAAGGGTACAAGCTGCAGAAATTCGAAGAGAGGAGCCCGTGCGTGGTACAAAGAGAGGAATACTCCTTGTCGTTGACAGGGGCCAGGAATGCTGACCAGGAGGTGAAAGTGCCTGTGCCTGTTGCTACCGTCACCAAGATGCCCTCGTGGCCCCTTCGCAGGCCACAGTGGCCGTCACTGCCGGTTTGGGCGGACACATCCTCAACCGCCTCAACCTGCCCACGGCGCTGCCAGTTCGTCCCTCGCTGGAAGCACACGACATTCTCACCAACCTCCGGCGGATCTTCTGGCGAGTAGAAGCCCGCACGACGCGCCTGTTGGATCGAGAAAGGGCCTGCAAAGGCCACGTTCCCGAAGTAGGGCAGTTCCTCCGAGGTCCACTCTAAACGATCCACGGCCGAGCAAGCCTCAGCCAAGACCTCTGCAGGACAGCTCCGTCCATCCACTCTGTAGACCTTGCCTTCGAAGAAAGGTAGTATGGCTTGAATATGGCGCTTGTATGTTTCCAAGCGCTTAAAGACCAGCTCCTCCCTGTCATCACTCCGCTGGACCAGGCGCCCGGCCACCTGCGGTTGGTCGGATGGGGGTGGTCGGAAAGTCAGATGGTAGATCCTTCCGGTCAAGGGGTCGATTCGACGTTCCGTCGACCGGAGCACAAGTTCCTCATCCGCCACCTCGAGCAACAGGAGTTGGTCCACCCGAAGGCTCTGCACCAGAGCAGAGGCCTGCACCTCTGTAAGCGGGAAATTGTCCAAGAGACATCCTCGTGTGACGATGTCCGGTTTACTCATCCGCTCGATCATGATTCTCATCGCCAAATAGTGGGGAACCAACTTGCCCTCTGACATGAACTGCTTCGCCTCCGGCGGCGACGCCGCAACTTTATGGACAATACTCATACCGCTAGTTTCTTCGTCTTGTGATCAATCCTGTTTTTCTGGGCCAAAGCCTTGCCTGCTTAGGCAGAACATTGAGACCGTGGACACCTTTCTTGCATGCTCTGAACAACAACATTACGTCGGAGGATTGAACATTCCATCTTTTTTCCCAAACATTCTTGTCAGTGCACCAACCAAGTCTGTCTCGGTCCTCCGACCCTTGCCTTGTTAATCTCGAACACGTGTGCGGAGCACTTTCTCAGACATCGATTATATCTCATGAACAGCTTCAAGACCACAAAGAAGTTCGTTCTAGACTGATGATATACTATCATTATTCTTCTGGTTTTGTTTTGACCACTTACTCAGAGCACGGGCAGCGGGGGCCTTGAGCCCCAGCTCGGTCTCTCGTTCGACCTCCTCGCGCAGCAGCTGTCCCGGAGACACGTGCACCAACCCGTAGCGCTTCTTCAGACCGTCGCAGAGCGACCCTTTCCTGAGCTCCGAAAATCTCAACTGACACTGCTGCTGAATGCGTCGATGCTAAAATCGCGTGCAACTAGGAGTACCAGCAGCTGAGCATTCGGGATGCCACGTGCTCTAAAGGACACTTGCTTTGCGAAGGTTCCCAAAGCGACCCAACAGCTCGGTATCACCTTTGGGTTCTGTGGATCCCACAGATGGCCTGAGGACTGCTGCCTGAGAGACACAGGATCCGCCAAGATCCGCCAAGGCTCCCTGCTGCAGGCGGCCCAGCCACAACAATCACATGCCTCAATGACTCAAGGGTCTCAGCACTTTTTGGAGTGGGAAGATCATCTCTCATATACCCTGTACGGCTTCGATGCGCGCCGAGCGAAGCTGTTCTATTCATGTAAAGACAAAGGCCAGATGATCCTGCAGCTGCGTGCTCTTGGGTTCTAGATCCTAGGTAGGGTGCCACATGCGAGTGGCGCTGTTGACTGAAGCATGACACAAGAAAAAACAAACCAGACAGCAGACGAAGTCGATCAGGCGGCCATGGCTGTGGCATTTGTGAAAAGGGCTTTTCTGGCCAAATCCTTCCCGTCTGCGGGCGCTTCACCACGTTGCCCATGGCCACGGTGACAGCTCAAAACGCAAGGACTATATGAATGTGGATATTCCTGAGAGTCGCATGCCGGACACTAAGCTGACATCAAGCAGGCTGCGCTGTGGAACAAGCCAAAATCCAATAACTGCGAGTAGGCTGGATGAAAACCTGAGAGCTTGTTTGAGCCAGTTTATGACGCGGCCAGCGATAGCATAAGGTTCTCCAGGGGCTGGGCCCTTATACCTATAGCTTGGGGCTTCAAGCCTCGTTTTTGAAGCTTGGGGTTCGGCGACATGTCGCGACGCTGCCGGTGACTCACGTCGGGTTCTAGTCGGAGAGCTCGAGGGGACTTGCTGTATTTTGGGAAGGAACGTTTACAGAGAGAGAGAGAGAGAGGCACTGCTTTGGTTCTTGTCGCTTCAGGCAGACTGCTGTTCTTACAGCTCTGAATTCCGGCTGACGCAGTACCTCAATTGTGCTGCGACCGTGACCGACATGATCAGATCAATTCCAAGAGCCATGTGCCCAAGATCTCAGGCACAGGCATAGCACGGGATCGAGCATGTTGAAGGTGTGCTTGCTGTTCAGCTCCTCTCAAGTCAGCTGGATGTTCCATCAGTTCAAAGGTTCGAGACAGCATTGCACTTTCCAAAGCTGATGTGTTCTGCTTCCTTGTCTTGCACATCACAGGAGAAATGGCAGACCAGTAGAAGCCCAAGCATGCAACCCAAGTGCCAAGCACATCCGCTGACAATCGCAGCAAAACACCCGGACCATCACACGCAGAAGCTTGCACATCCAGGCACTGTCCAGAAGCAGTACCGGTGGAGAAGATTGTGAGAGGAGAGCGCGGCACTTCTGATCCTGCCAACGACGATTCGTGCATCGATGCTGTACATGAACATCACATTCGGCTGTCTCTTGCTTTACCCACTAACTGGTGAGTCTAGTCATGACAGGTTGGCATATGCTCTGTCCTCGACTTCCCCGAAGCCATAAAGGCCAAACTTGTTACTCCAGGAATGAGCCATGGTCCACCAGTATGCCTGCCATCCATAGCTTCGCAGCAATGGCAGCAAGACGTATTACACACCCCTTTTCATCACAGAAGCGTGCAAGAACACAAAAATGGTCGGCATCACGGCTGTGTAGTTTCCGCACCTGTTGACATCGGTCAACCTGGCGTCTCACCGGGAGGGGAGAGCAATGCGAAAGGATTGCATGGCATACCGAATACCACTACCAACGGAATGCAGTTTGAAAGCCTGTCCTGTTGTACTGGCTCGGCAGGAGGCCGGTGCCGATTAGCTGCCTGCTTTCCAGCAACTGGAGATAAGATCTCAAACATGTCAGCACGCGTGAGGAGATGCCTAAGTTTGCCAACCAAGGGCATGGATGTGACGCGGTTTGGCCTCTTGCGTGGGAGGTCGTGGCCATGGATGCTGTTGTTCTCCTGCCTGGGTTTGACGAGTAGTTGTATCCGAACTAAATGCAGCCGTTGGATAGTTGGAACAAGAGTCTCAGACATGGTACTTACAATTTGCCACTGGCAAGATGCGGAGTGAAATCATTCAATGGGGCTTGTGTTGCACGACCATCCGCACAGCAGTAATGGCATCATTCTGGGCGACAAGCTCCAACTCTTCGTTGGCATCCTTGATCTGCCGCTGACGCGCAGTAATCTCCTGTCAACATGAGAATGCGTCCTTTCTACCAGTCCTAGCTAGAAGACCGATTGGCAATCATTCGTATATAGCAGAAGATCACCTCGCTCCAACAACATGCCGGCTGACCGCACGGATGAGCCGTGCATAGTTGTCCAGCGGTTCGACCTGCCCGCTTGCCACAGCAAGGTGGCGCAACAATACAAACGAGGACAACAGAGACGTCCAAATGCGACAGCTTAATTATTTCCTGCTGCTGCTGCTGCTGCTGCAATTGTCACATGTGCCTGGTGACCTGCTTTTCGACACACAAAATGCATGAGACCCACTGTCAAACTACCGTATGAACAGTACATCCTCTGCAAACTCTCACAACTTGCGTGCCCAACCTCGGCAGCTACCATGTCCCGAAGGCTTCGGTGCACATAGCCAGCAACCGGCGCTGATACCGTTAGTCACTCAAAAACACTGCTGATCTGCAACGAAACCTTTTTTTGCGACGCAACAAGCTTAAGAATCTAAGCTCCTGGCTCGAACTCAGTGTGTGATTCGTGTCGTCCTGTACTTATATGAATTCTCTAAATTTGTTTCAAACCATGTTTGCCAGGAGTATGTTATGACATCTCATCATGTGACTGCGTGCTGATACTTGGTGTATGCAGGCCCTTCGGAAGCTCTTATAGGACTGAATGCAGCTGGCCCTTGCCCATGATTGTGATTTCAAATCCTCTGCTTTGATGACTGATCCATATGGCGAAGAGCCAGATGCAAAGACATGTTGTTCGCAGCTTGTTGACGAACTGACTGGGCCGTACCATCACACTCATGGTGTATTTCTGGGCGAGCTGGCGGCACAAGTGCAATCGGATCTTATTGGTCCGGATCTTCGCAAGAGTCTCCTCATGATATTTATTCAAAACTATCGTGAACAGCTCAGACGCCATCACGGAGAAGGACTAACCGACTTGTTGCTGTGCATCTGTATTGACTACCATGTCTGTCAAGCCTGTCTCTTGAAGGGTCAGGAAACGTGGAACAAGCACATTGACTGTCGCCGTCTCGGATGGAGAACTAATAAGTGGCAAAGTACCTTGCAGCGTCGAGGCTCCTGTCATAAGTTTACCAGGCGATGTCGCCGGCGATGCGCACGGCATAGCAGGCCTGTACATGGTTTTTTTGAGAACGCATATATCAGGCTACTGGATAAAATTCCTCTCTTCGTTTTTATGGATGATGCAATTTGTGCGCGCATCTAGCAACTTCGGACTGTGCCAAACATTGTCTCTGTTGGCTCGCGTAACAGCTGCTTTCATGTCCGAAGCTGAAAAGGCAGCCGAGGACTCAGCTGAACTTTCGCTCGAATGGCTGCATTGCTGTCGCTCTCTTGAAAGGTCCCTGGCCTGTACCACATGGCAATATTCTATGTCGAGATGCATGCGTGTGCACCTCAGTGAGATGGCTTTGTGCAAAGCGGATCGTATCCTTACAGCCCACACAACTTGCTTTATATATGCGTGTCTGATCCTACGGAACCATGCACTGTCTTCTGCCATTTTCGCTTACACAGTTCGAAGATGGTTATCGTGTGAGCAAGGATCAGCACATGATCATATTAGCAAGCAGCTCAGTGCATGCCGTTGTCAACCTTACAGTGCCTGTGGGTCTGATCCACATCAATGTGCTATTGATCTGCCTCTGGTGCTACGATGGCGAGTTCGTCGGTACCCAGCGATGTGCGACAAATCAGACAGAGGCTGGCAGCAGAGAGAGCACATGATCTTTTTTTTAACATTGATGATGAATTTGCGGATCCAATTGCGGTTGCTCGGGATGGTTCTGATCACGACCATGATATTTCCTGTGATGCGCCTCCACGGCAACGGCCCAAGCCTTCTCAGGCACCTCATATCAAACCAGCTGGAATGGCGAGAAGACCACCTCCGCCAAGCACTTTTCGAATTATTCGAGTGCGCGATAAACCTGGACGTTGCAACGATACCCCTGGCACTGGGCGGGTATATCTTTGGAGAGGAGGACAGCGCATCCACCGCGGGCTCAAACATGCCAGCACACAAACGGATCCTGTTCCACTTAGCCCTCTCCGACTTCTGGATCCTGGAGAATGTGAGACCATGGGCCACAATGAAAATTCTGCTTCTCGCATGGTACAGCTGGGTCAGCTTCAGATTTTTCTTGTGGTTATTGCAGCAGGGACAGCTCCAGCTCTTCGGGCGGTATTTTGCGCAGGGATGCTATTGCTCGTGCAATCGTCGACTTCGACCTCAATCCATCTGATAATGATCAGTATTGCAATATCTTGGATATCCTGGATGCTGGCAGACGTTCATTCAACGGGTTTCACTCTTTCTGGCTGGTTGTGTGCAGATGTACATATCCCTATAACATCTGCTACCTGCGGATGCTACTGCACCTTCGTGTCCACGGCCTTTGCTCATGCCATATATTGTGGTACATGCATGATTGGCCTACAGCATTGATACCCAGGTCTTGGATGGTATACGTCACTGCCACTGCCTGAAAGTTCTTGGCTGGTATTTGGATTTTACGATTTGCGGCTCAAGCTGATTTGGATTTACAAATGTCAAATATCTAGTCGCCCTCTTAGGGACGTTCTATAAATGACTCAAATAAAGAATCAATCCAATATCTTATGGCATACGCACACTCACGATCTTTTCGCTCGAAAGCGTCAAACGGGGTTTCCAAGTGCATGCCGCACACACACACCGTGGCACATCGCCACAAGAAAGAGGCACTTCGCTTCAAGAGCACTCCGCTCCCCCCCAGGGTTGGGTGGGTGGGAGAACAAAAATCTGAGTCTTGAGCTCCACTCCGAGCCAAGACTTTGCAACATAACATGGTTCAAACAGCGTGCGGCATGTGAGACGTGAAACAACTCTCAAGAAATGTCTGCAATCCAAAAATCAGCAGTTTTTTCTGTACTCCCAGAAAAAACTTAAAGCGCCTACAAATCGTAAAGCGAAATCATGCAAGCATGAGTAGAAGCTTACGATTTGCGGCTCAAGCTGATTCGGATTTACAAATGTCAAATATCTAGTCGCCCTCTTAGGGACGTTCTATAAATGACTCAAATAAAGAATCAATCCAATATCTTATGGCATACGCACACTCACGATCTTTTCGCTCGAAAGCGTCAAACGGGGTTTCCAAGTGCATGCCGCACGCACACCGTGGCACATCGCCACAAGAAAGAAGCACTTCGCTTCAAGAGCACTCCGCTCGCCCCGCTTGACAAGAGTGATCTTAAACGAAGCGCTGAAGCAGTGTCCCTGTCAAAGGACAACAAGGATCATCAATCACGCACTCCGGGAAGGCTCTCAAAAGGCCCTCCCAGCGACCTCTTGACGGTCCATCAGAGATGTTCGAGTGTGAAGGAACACGACTGAACCATTGCATGGCAGGCTTCGAATCAGCTTTCTCGAATGCGCACAAAAGCTTTCTCCAGGTATCCTCTTTGGAAGATCCGCTTATGCAGGCGGCAAGCACACCGCTGTGATCCACGAAATAAATGACCCTGGCGCCGTCCAAGACGTTTGCCCAGCACGACCTGGCAATGATGACCGCGAACATCTCAACCTGGCCTATGAGATGTCGTTTGCCCTTGGCATGCCAAGCTTCAAGCAGTGTCTTTGGAACAAGCGAGCCAAATGCCCTCACCTTCAAGCCTCCACTAGACGAAGGAGCGAACATCACTCCCCCAACCCCGGCGGGGTTCGCAGCATCCGGCTCGAAGCAGCCGTCAGTGAAGATCACGATAGGACTAGTCGCAGCCGAAGCGGACACAGCTCTCGGAGCTCCGGACACAGCGCGTTCCTTCAAGAGCAACAAAGCTTCAAGATGCTGAGCTGTGAGGTTGACACGTGCAGCAGGAGACCTCTCAAGACTTCTGAGATCGTGAATCGCCAACCTGCCCATCCTGCCAAGGATCTGTGCCTCGGCGAACTGAAGTCTGCCGAACAAAGAAGGCAACTCACGAGGTGCGACGTGCCCTCTGGTGATAATCTCCTCGATGGCATCAGCGATTGTCTGCGACCTCGATGCTTTGTTGCACACAGACACGCCCGACATATCCTCCGCCGACGTGTCTATGACAACTCCCAAAGTTTCCGAGCGCGTCGAAAAAGGCTTATCCTTATCATCAGCAATCCTAAACCCCAAAAGGCGCATTACTGAATTGAAGGCTGCAGCCGTGCTGTTGCTAAGGAGGCACGGCGACACCACTGGATAGTCATCATAATAGAGTGCCGTCAAGATCTCCATCTCAAGCATAATCCTTCTCAGCAGAGCCGAGACTCTGTTGAAGTGAAGAACCGATCCACAAGCTCCGAACGGAAGAGTGTTGCATATGTAGCCGGACGGCTCGGTCTGTGAAGGATGCCGAATGGTAACTATCGCCTTACTTTGCTCCTCCGGTGCAAGTGGAAGTTGTTTGTAAGCGGATTTAAGATCAAAGGTTGTCGTGACATGTCTGATCTTCTCTTTGTCGGCCCAGTGTTCATGCAGCTTGCCTTTCAAGGATTCGCCCGAGCTCAGCTGCAGCGTGACGTCGCCCCTAGCAGAGGCAGCCTGCATTATCTTTGTGCAAATCCAGACTACCTCGTCCAGAGCCCTAAGCGGAATCTTCTCATGACAGCCAAATGTAGCATTGAGCCCCGACTCGCTAAGATCGTCGATCGGCCTCCACTTGTTTTGCCATACAGCGAACCTTCGGCACGGCGTCCACTGGCCTTTAAAGCGATCCTGGAGCTCAGAGAACGACAAAGGGCCCTCGAGCCATCCTTTCCCTCCAGATGTACAGGTTTCGCCCAGCGTGATTTCGGCCAACTCCGCATCGTACTCCTGAGCTGGCTGCTCCCTAACTCGTGCCCAAAGCTGATGCTTCAAAACTTCGGCAGCATCCCAAAATTGCTCCTCTGAAGATAAGGCAGGCTTGTGGTCAGGCTCAAACACACCTGTAGGATCAGGAACTCCCGACAACTTAAACCCTGCACACAGGTCACGATGCAGGTGCTTGTCAGGCCAATCAAGGGATTTTGCAATCTTGTCAAGAAGGAGCAACTTCTTTCCTTGAAGAACCTTGCGGACCGAAGGATGAAGGGAGGCCTGAAGAGATGCTTCATCAGAGCGAATGTCCTTCGCCCACTGATTCCACTTTTGCAGCATGATCAACCTGTTTTGCGTGATGCATAAGGGACCTTTCGTCAGTGTGGCAAAGAGCACACGAACAAGCGTATCCGGAAGAGCTCTGGCGGCATCAAACGGATGCTGAAGTGCAACAGCCTGATAAACGAATTGCACCGGCTCGCGATACACACCGAACACATACTCAGTATGGCGAGGTTTCTGCGAAGATATGTTGGTCGCTTGCTGCGCGACTTCCTCAGTCGCCCCCCCTTCGGAAGTGGAAGAGCGCAGGAGGCGGGCATGTTTGGGAACGCCATTCCAAGGGTGTGTGAGCTGCTGCTTGGCATCTAGAGGTGGATGGCCGTCACACGTCAAGCGCTGCGTGTATGCAAACTCTGGCACAAGCGGTGGTAGCTTGGACGCCTTCGGCTGGCTTTGCGCCGCAGCGCGGACCTCGGGCAGACTAAGAGGGGAGGGGCCTAAACCCGAGGCGCATTGCTGGACTTGTGTGTGGGCATCTACGAAGGGAATCGCCTTCGCTATGTGTCTTGGGATCGTTGCACATCCAAGTCCCAGGAGCTCTCGAGTGAGACGAAGCGTGACAGCATGCTCACTGTGGATTCTCAGGGTCGCCTGAAGGCTGAAGCTAAGGGCGATCGTACTGGTGGACTTGTCCACTGGTGTTTTGCAAATGGAAAAACGGTTTCCTTTCTTTTGGCAAAACTGGAAAGTTTTCCTTTATCCGCTTTTGCCAGTGCCTGCATCTTCTTGCCTCAGTACATGTCGTGAAGCTCTGTGCATCTGCACTCCGCTTTGGATCAAGTTGCAGCGAAGTCGCTTCGCAATTTTGATTTCCCACCCGACCCGCCCTGGTTTCGCTTGCGTGCACGCCGGCCTCGCTAGGCCCGGCCTTTACCGAACGTGCTATCCCTCCTTGCACCTTCACTCTCACTTTGTGCTTTGCCTCTGGCATCCTGCCACGGGCAATGTGCTTGCGCAGGCTGCTGCCTTCACATTACCATTGCTTCTTCTAATGCTGCACACGGCAGCGCGCAGCTGCCGCACCATGTCGTTCGGTGCTCCCTGCTGGGCCCGCCATGGGCCCCAATGCGTTTCACCGCCGTAGTCTGCAGGTCACCTCTTGCTTGTTGCCTCTGCTCTAGCGTGGACTGCTCAGTCCCGGAGGACCCTTCTGGTCGCTCCCTTAGTCCGAAGCTGTCACTCAGGTGTTGTAGCTTCACTCGTAGTTCTTTTGTCCGTGGGGTGGTGCAACAGTCGCCACCCCACAGAAGGCATCCTCGGGTCAACCCGTTTGTATGCTTGCACAGCCGATCTTTGCGATCCCATCGAAAATGAGTGGACCGAGTTCGGATTGCATTCATTTTCCGTTCTCGGGTTTAGGGTTTAGGATTTTGTTTAGGGTAACGGTTTTCCTTAGCAGAACACATTAAAGCTGACACGAGTTCGGAGATTTTGTTGCAGTTCGCACTCTTGAGAAGAGGTCTTGGATTGGAAATGTGGAACTTGCTCGACTTTCGTTTGCATCGCAGGTGGGCTGAAAAAATGATTGAGACGAGGATGGCAGCCCAACTCGACACGCATTCGCAAGTGTCGTTCGCCCAATTGGAGGCGGCGGACCAGAAGTTCTTGCAGGAATTAGCGGACAGGACTCGCGATGGAGTCCAGGCCACCGCTCTCGGTCGCCCATTGGACGACTGCTTCGATGAAGTTTTCAACTTGCCAGAGGTCACACATGTTATGCAGCCGCTGCCTAAGCCGAGCGGTCGTGTGGAGCCACCTCCGAAGCCGCGCTGGAGCCTGTATGACCGTCCCTCAAAGGGTGGTCGGAAAGGCAAGAGCCCAGGCACAGGCAAGAGCACGCCCAGGATGCCCAAGGAGCTTGTTGGCTGCAAGGCGTGCACCAATCGGGGTGACCCAATCTGTTTTGGGTACGGCTTGAAAACTTGCTCTGAGCAAGTGAAGGGCGGTCGCTGCCCAAAGGGGCTGCACGTATGCGCCGTCCCGAAGTGCGGGGGAGCGCATCCAGCACTTGACTGCCCACAGTATGCGGCCCTGAAGAAGGCCGGGTCTTGACTCCAGGTGGGTCAAGACGAGATGGCGGCGATGCCATCAGTGAAGGGAAGTGGGCAGCTCGGAGTGGGCTCGCCCAAGCGAGCGCGGTCAAGGGACCGTGCTACTGCACAAGCTGTTGATTCGGCCGAGGGGTCGGATTCTGAATCCTCATTTTTCGCTGCTGAGCAAGTAGCTGCAGAGCCTCTACTTTGTAAAGATCCTGAGCAATTTTCTGCTGCCGCATCAATTAAGAAGCCTTTAGATCTCAGGGATGTTGTGACCTTGTGTGATTTGCTGGAGAGTGAAATCCCGGCAAGAGGGAACAATTCTGATGACGAGTTCAGCTGGAGCACAGGGGCGTATGTGCATGGAGGTGTTCACGGATGCAGACAACATATGCATCAGTTCCCAGTGACCTCCGCATTCCTTGCGAAGGTCTTCAAGGAGTACCACCCGAGGCTTCCAGTGACATCGTTGTCTTTGACTCGCAATGTGCGAACAGCCTTGCATCTGGACGCGAACAATGCATTGGGCTACCTGAACGGCTTGATTAAGATTTCGGGGTTTAGGGGAGGGGGTTTGTGGGTCCAGGACTCAAGTGGAGACACGATGTGCCCCACCGATCCATCTCTTCGAGGCTCACACCTCGACTTCAAAGACTCCATTCTTGCCTTTGATCCGCACAGGAAGCACCTTACGTTGCCTTGTACGCAGGGCCCACGCATCGTTCTGATCGGTTTTGTGGTCAAAGCCCCCACCGAGATGCCAGATCAAGCAGCCGAGATGCTGCTGCGAGCAGGGTTCAATCTGCCATGTCAGGACACGGCGACTTCTCTGTGTCAGCTTGGATCACATAGTACCTTCTCTGGACTGTCTTCAAAAGCTTTAGCCCCGAAGGCAAAGAGCTCGCGTGGGGCTCCTCTTGTGATCCAACTATGCGCCGGGTCAGGCCTTTTATCAGCTTCCGTCAAGCGAGCAAACATAGAAACTTTGGCGGTTGATTTTCACGGGAATCGGGCTAGGCCTTATGTGCATGTTGTCGGTCTCGATCTTACGTTGCCCGCCTCTTGGGAGTACCTGACGACCGTTCTTGAAACCAGACAGGTTGTACATGTGCATGTGACTCCCCCTGCTGGGACAACACGCCGATCGCGTGCAAAGCAGTCGCTTCGCAGTGCTTCCCACCCGTGGGGTGTGCCAGGTCAGGACTCATCGGTGTTGGCTCGTCTACAGTCGGCCAACCGCATTTTCATTCAGCTGGGAACCTTTTTGCTTCGGGCTCGTGAGCTTGAGGTACCGTTCTCGCTTATGCATCCCATGTCTTCCTGGCTTTGGGAGCTGCCTCCCTTCGCCGACCTGCTCAAGGTCACTTCGGAGGTGCCAGTGTATCTGCTGTCCGACATGCACAGGCTCCAGCATCTTCGCTTATGAAACGGATGCCTTGATCTTTCGGTACCTCTCCGCTCTCTCTGGCTGTGACAAACGCCTTGGCCCTGCCTCATCTGGCCGCTCGGCCATGGTCTTAAGCTCTTGAGTAGCCACAGCATAAGCTTCATGGAAAAGTCTGCGCCAGGATGCTTTCTGGCCTGCATCACTCTCCTTCCCAAGTGCTTCATTGAGGACTTTAATGAGCTCGGAATCAGACGCAGCACCTGGCGCGTAAGACGAAACGAAAGCCACCTTAGCAAGTGTATTGATGCCGGCAGCCTTCAACTTGGTCACGGCTTCACCGCCTAGGCCAACGGTCTCACATCGGTTGGTGAACACCGGCTCCGACTCCGTGTATGAAGCCATGGCTCACACAGTCCCTAGCTCTTGCACAGCTGTTGCCCAACCGGCTCACATGCACTGCCACTCCGGCCAAACCGCCCCATGCGCGCACGTTCAGAGACATCATTAAAGTGCCAAATTCAGCCTGCCAAGTGACTGCAACTTCTGCAAGACAACTGGCTCCAGACGCACGCGCAGGACTGGTGGTGCTAGACGCAATACAACTTGAACTTGCAGGGCACCGCCAGAGCATGACAGCATGGACTTGCAAGGCACGTGCGCACGGAACTTTAGATTGTCCACATCCTCTGCCCGCAGCACCTCACGCATTAACTGATTCCAGAAAGCTTCTGAAGCACTGCTTGCACCTTGGATACAAAACGGGTGGGTGTGCATCGCACACCTCATAGGCAGCCGTACTCTTTCGGCCACAAATGAAAGCGGCGGCCTGCTCCTCACGGGAAATGTGCAAAACTCGCGAGGTTTCGTTCCTAGCCATGACCGCCTCATCAGGAATCTTAGATCTATCTACACGACCGGCCCACGGGCCCAAAACTCGTCCCACAGCACCCTCATCATGGCGCGGACATTCCTCATCCTCAGAAGAGGATGATGAGCAATCTGCACCTGCATCGTCACGGACTCCTGCAGCCTCCCTCTCTGCGGCCGTCATAAGGCCTCTGGTCTCATCAGGCCTGAAAGAACGATCGCGGACCTCATCTACGAGCTCCTGCAAAACTCTTAAGGGATACGCCATGGCATCCCTGGCGTAGATGATCTCAGTACCTATGCCAGCGTCCTTCGTCGCGTGGTACCCCAACAGTGCAGTGACATCTCGAGCAACACCCTTCTTGTTCAGCCACGACAAAAGTGTGGCTTTGGCTGAGTGCGTCCCGAGCCCGAGCAACTGAGGATCATCAGTGCCATCACTGAGCAGAGCACGCATCCATTGCCCCGAAGCCTGAGCCGTCTGCGGGATCACGTTCCATCCTCCCCCACTCTTGGGTGATGGCATGAGAGGTTTCCCCTCCCCCGCCGTGACGCCCTCCTTCTCGAGCGCCGTCTTCCACCCTGATGCCCAGCACTTGCCGCTGAGGCCCCGCGCCGGAGCTAGCATGGGTAGAAACTTTGTTTTCCGTTCCACAGTGAAGCTAGTTTTCGTTTTCTTAACCTCCGTGTTGATGAAGCCTGCAGGCAGATCACCCCTGAAGTCAAGCTCGAAAGACAGCAAGCAAACATGTTGGGCATCAGAATGACATGCTCTAGCGAATACCATGAAGAGGATGAAGCCAGCCATCACCACATCGAGGACCGAGCGAGGCACATCGCCTGTGCAAATCAGCTCCAGCCTGATAACATCCTTGACTCGAAGTGGAGGCCTCTGCTGCAATCGCCTGATGCCCAGGTACAGCTTTCTGGCGAGCCCTTTTGCCCTCAAAGAGTCCAACGCCAGCACAGCGCTGTCAAGACCCAACACAAAGCGGCCGAAAGCCAGCGAGGCAAGCACAGACTTGAAGAATGTTGCTGCTACCTGCGCCTGCATGTCGTAGAAGAACTTATAAATGACCTCTTCTCTGATTGGGAAAGGCTCAATACCTTCCAGATCACAGAAAGCCAAATATCTGACACCGCTCACTCCTCTTTTTGTCCAGAGTTCGGAAGTCCACTGCAGCTGCCGTCCGCGAATGCTCTGCAGGTAGCAAGGAGCAGCGAAAGTGAGGAGCAAAGTACATGTACAGCGATCTTGAAATCACCCCCCCGCTTCTGGGTGGGATGGGAGGGAAGCTTGAGCATCGTTTGATGCGGCCACTCTACAAGTCAATCACTACAGTCAAACTCGTTCAAGAACATCCATGACACCGCTCACTCCTCTTTTTGTCCAGAGTTCGGAAGTCCACTGCAGCTGCCGTTCGCGAATGCTCTGCAGGTAGCAAGGAGCAGCGAAAGTGAGGAGCAAAGTACATGTACAGCGATCTTGAAATCACCCATACCAGCACTGAAACTCCCATTACAGCGTGCTCTCTGGCATCACACGCCGACCAAACTCTGAACCAAGTTGCTGGAGATAAAAGTTGTAAAAACAGCGGGCCAGTAGACGACAAAGAGGCAGAGGATAAGGCTCAGAGACCTTAGTAAGCCACTGTCCTCGATTGTTTTGTCCTGCCAGGGGCACGTGCTCGCGTTGAGAGCGGCAGCAGAGTCCTCGACGACTGCTGTGACAAAGGTAAGGCTGAAGAGGCTCCAAGTTGAGGTGTGCCCCGACAAACATGGTTGGCTTCTTCCAACGAGTGCCGAACATGCAGTAATCAACGCGCTGCGAGCAAACATGACGTAGGCGAAGAAGCCGTTGCACAGGCGGGCATAACCAAATCCTTGAAGTGGCAGGGTTCTCAAAACAACAGGGCACGTGCAGAATAGTGCAAGCATGCATGAATCGCACAGTAAACCGCATGAGGCGATTGCCAACCTCAATCTTTTGTTGATCCACCTCCGAAAGGTCTGGCAGCCCGAGTGGGTGCGAGTTGGATCGCAACGGAGGTGGCCCTGGCCTGCAATCACGGGCTCGTGAAAAAGACAGACTCGGGGTACCGAGGTGTGCGGCTATAATTCTGTGCCCTCGCAACCACTGCATCAACTTGTTTTGATTTTTCTGCACACACAGGTCATACTCAGGACCAAGATGGATGTCCCACAGTAGCGTCGGCCAGCCGGTGTGGCGTCCAACCGCATTTGCCAGCCGGCCAGTCCCAGCGAAGATTTCGATGAAGACTTTGGGGTCCGGTAAAGCGCAAGCTAGCGCAGGCTTCGGAGGGTTGCCGGCAAAGAGGCCGTTGCTCGAAGGCAGCGGTTTCGCACGGCGGGTGCCAGCGACCCGAAGAGTTGGGCCACACGACCGCCCTTTTGGTAACGACGAACGCTGTTGAAGGATTTCCACCGGCCTCGTTGCTGAATCGCAGTGAGGTCCCTGAATTTGCTGTTGAAGTCGTGACTGGCTCCCCCGTGCCGAAGACGATAAAGATGCAGGGGCCCAAGAGGTCGCAGTTCCAGTTCCTGCTGCGCTGACGCCAGAAAGTCGTTCAGCTCCTTGGCAGTGATGCTGAAAATAAACTGCTCTGGGTTCATGCGACTCAAATGAAGACAACGATGTATCGCTTGGCCGAGGTGTGCATGATAGTCCAAATCTAGGGCCAACGTCTCGTCGAACTCCTTCGTCTTGGAGGGCACCTGGCCTTCCATCGGATTGAGGACGAACTGCCAGCGGCTCGAGGTTCCTCGGCGTTGAACTGGTGCCACCACGTCCTTGCTTCGAATCCGAAGGCCTTCTGAGGGCCGAAGATAGAGTGCGAAGGCCAGCAGGAGAAACAGGCCCACTTCCTTGAGCCCCTTCAGGAAGGCGTGGCAAGCCATGAGTACAACCACCTCGTAGGGAATCGGCATTCGCGCTTGCGGAGGCGCGAGGCGCTTCCAACCTGCTAACGCCTGCTTGACCCGAGGCAGCCACTGCATCGAAGGGGACTTCAAGGACGGGTTGAAGTACAGGAAAGCGGCCACCAGGTATTGACCGCTTGCCACGTTTAGCCCATCCAGGAACTGCTCCTCGAGCTGTTGACACAGCACATTGTCGATCTGAGACACTGAGAGAAGGCATCCGAGGGTGGTCGTCACCAGCGGAGCCAGCTCGCTCCAGATGTTTTCGTACCGTTTTCGGCATGCATCTGTCACCGAAGCTTTTTCGAGCACAGTCCTGCCATTGTCGTCCCCCCCTATCTGAGTGAGAAGCTTCTCTCTCTTGACACGTTTGGCGCCCCGGCTCTCCTCGACTGGCGCCTCCAAGATTGGTCCCAACACTGCAGCCGCAGGAGCCATCATCACCCTTTCTGTGTCCTTCTTTCTTTTGGACTTGGACGTGAGAGGCTGACTCGAAGTGGTTGCCAGCTGAAGGTGACGATGAATCATGCTGAAGCGATCGCTGAGGTGCACTCGGCGCCCATGTGCCGCGGCTGGGGTTATCTGCAGGGTTCCACTCTGACGGCACCCACCGGAGGGATACTTGACTATTGCTACAGAGACATAGTGCTGCGATTTGAAAACATACTCGTCTGAGCTGGAATGTACTAGATCGGCCTCGGCTCACCGCAAAAGCAGCTGTCATCGAGTCGGTTATGACCAGATGTCTCTTTCCGAAGCCGTCAAGCCTTCGAAGAGCATGCTTGACAGCAAAGAGAACGGCCCGAGCCTCGGCAACCGGGAGGGTTGGTATGCGCCGCCATTTGTGACTGCACACCGTCACCCAATCCCGATCAACTGCAGCGAATGGTACGGCCTTAAAGTTCATCGGATCACCATCGTCAGGCTCAGAGGCATCTAACTGATTGAGAACGCCGGCTCGCGCACCCACCAGTGCACCCCCCGCCTCGTCAATGGAGAACCGCCACCTTTCGCTGTGGCGCCCGAGGGCCCGAACCTCCGCATCGGTCATGGTAGTGGATGTGGCTCCCATTCCCCAAAAGCTCGCGTCAACTGCGGTGACTCGATCACTCCAGCCAGCCTTTAGGTCACGAAAGATCAAAGGAGAAATGGCGTCCCACATCCACAGCTCTGTCCTGACACATCGTGGCAAGGGCATCTCATGATTCACATCCCGGTACTTCGTGATGAACTGGTACACCGATCCAAAGATGGCCAGACTCTCTCGCCGCCCGAGGCAGATGAAAGTACACAATCCAACTAGACGTTCAATCTGCCTTCCCGTTGCCCGTCTTCTTGACAGAATGGCCCGAATCGCAAGCCGAGCCTTCCACACTCTTCGCCGCGACGGTCGAAAGATGCCGCCTTTCTCAAATTCCCAACCCAATACACAAGCTCCATCTTCGCACTCCTCGACCTCGTGCACTTGTAACCCTGCCTGCTTCAAGTGGCTGACGGCGTGCTGGAACATGCTCTTCACGGCACCGGTGTCCTGATTCAGGACAACGAGGTTGTCGACGTATTGAGTGTGCATAACGGCTGGTCCTGGAGCAGCGCGACCGTCACGAAGCCGTAATTCATCTGGCAACCCCGAAGCCTGAATCAGGTGCTCGTGGATACGCTGGCATATGAACAAGGCCCAGCTCCAACCCATGGGCACAACGGCAAGGCGAGGATATACTTTGAGGCCAGCGCGAGCGATCTCTCCTCCGATCAGCGGTCGTCCTGCAAGGTACCGGCCATCAATAGGAGGTAGAACAAAATAGTCACGAAGATCAAGGGGCAATTCGAGATGGTAAAAGGCATCTTTCAAATCGGCCTGGCAGATTGTAAGGTCTGGCCCTTCAAGAAGTTCGATGCGGGACAATCCGTCACCTGTGCAAAGATGGACGTAATCAGGGACCTTAAAGTGTTGGTTTGATCGGCGGGCATCGACTATCATCCTCAACTTCATGTTTTTCTTTGTGACGAAGAAGATTGCGATCTGCTCAATGCCGGGGGACCCACTGAAATCCACCAGATTCGACTGGGCCAACCGATCAAGAAACCCACTGTATATTTTGGGGTCCCGAAGTTTTGGATCACCGTAAGGAAACTGCACTCCACATGATTCGACACGCTCCCTTGCTGTCGCTGCGGGCAGGAGCTGTTGCTGTACGTAATCGCCAACTGATATTCCCCCGTCGGGGCCTCCAAAGGAGGCCAAAGAGATCGGCTTCCACCCTGGATCAGGAAGGGAAACCCCTTCGGGAAAGTAGGAGGCGAGGGCACCCGTCGCCTGGACATCATCGACATAGCCCTCACCGAAGCTGCCGTAGCGCTTCTGGTACTGTTACATCACCTGGGTGGACCCAGTTGGTTCACTGCATTTTGTATGCAAGAGAGCGCCTCAGGAATGAATTGGCCCAGCATCTGATTTCGAGGCCGGGTCGTACATCAAATTCAAAGCCCGAATGGCGGAATTGCACTCGTCCAAAATGCGTTCCCTTCGCGCCCATCGCTGTTGTGATCCCCGGGACAGCTTATGCTCCGGAAGGTCTTGGCCACCAAAGAAAGGCAGAGGGAGAATGTCCCGCGTCACCAGGCGCTCGGCATGCAATGGACCTAAGGTGGGGGTGAGGCTCGGTCCAAAAGCCTCACCCGACGCTTGCTCACGTGTCATCTCGCCCCCCCTTCTTCTTCCGGGCAAGCTCGCGCTCCTCACGAGCTTTCCGAAGATTCTTGGAGAGGCTGGCCTCCTTCTCGGTTTCGGATTTCACAAAGTCCAGGAGATCCGGACACACCATGAGCGTGCCCGCCTGCCTCGTGAGGCCACCGAACACCTGCTGTTCCTCAAGTGACAGCCTGCCGCCAACAGCCTTTGACTCGCTCTCTCGTGCTTTCTCTGCATAGGCAAATTCGATAGTCTGTAGGCGCCTAAAAACCATCTCAAGAAAAAGGACATTGCAACCGTTCACTTGATCAACCTGCAACGCTTGCTTGGCAATCATAGAAAGCTTAATTTACGTAGTTGTTCTTCCGATTGAGCAGAAACGGCAGCGCTAAAGAGAAAATGATTTGTGAATCTATTTGCAA